GAGAGAGAGAGAGAGAGAGAGAGAGAGAGAGAGAGAGAGAGAGAGAGAGAGAGAGAGAGAGAGATGTCAAACACAACAAAGGGGATACCCTCTTGCTCAACAGGAAAGAAGTAAGCCACAAGTGTGTCTCAGTACGCCAAAAGACCACATCAAGGCTCAAACAAAAACAAAAATGTTCGCAGGCTGACATTTCTGCTTTACATGCAAAAGTTTTCACTAAACCCTTCCCCGCACCATTCACATGCCTCGAGTACCCTGTGGTCCCCATCCATACTTCTCCCAGCACCATTCCCATGCTTCACCCCGCAATGACACCGATCATCAATAGATACTGTGTATTAAATTTGTATTTTCAATTTCCTGACCCATAACCTGAGCACACATTTCATCAGCATTTCCTCTCTGGGCTTTCGAGTTCCACATTCGCCTCTCCACTCTCTGCAACGTTTCCACACCAGCGTTTCCACACCAGCGTTTCCACACCATCCACATGATTCACTGCATATAGAACGCAAAACACAAGCTGCAAAAACATGAGGCACATCCACATCCTCAGAAAACACACAACTAGTCTAGAGTACACAGTTCATCCTCCCAATGACGATACCTTCCACTCACCACACAATTCCGTCCACTCGCAGCACGATTCCTTCCACACTCAACAAAATTGCTTCCACACACACACAGCACCACAGTCCACAAACGGTCATTTACTCACCGGCAAGCGCAAACCTAACAGTGTACAATCTACACGGCCACATCAAGAGTTCACAATTTTGTTTCTGATTTTTTTAATTTTTTTTTTCCCCCATCACCCAGTCAAAGCTGACTCGTAACTTCATCCAAAATTGCCAACTTGAAAACAGAGCTGAGCCTCCATCTCCCTTGACTCCCCTTCTGCTGCCTCTTAGGTCTATAACCTGTGAGACGGCCTGCACCCACTAGACTCCACCATCACTATACAAATTCTACGAGCACACTTTCTTTAAGTACAACTTGCCTATGGCACACAACAAATACACACTGCAATCCCTAAGACCTGGCCTGACCTCTGGCGACATTCACCACTTCCATGCATGTACTTTCCATGCATGGAGACATAACAGACTGAGCAACAGCTACTTGCAGTCCTCGCCTTGCCAACACTTCCCTTGCACAAGTTCCGCAGTCCACACGCAGGGCAGCTCCTCACACCCCAAAAGCAGCACGTGACTCGGCATCCATGTCCTCTACAACCTTCCTTTCCACAACGATGTGATGCTCATGTCCTTCTAAATCACAACTGTAGACCAGACATTTCTCCCCCACAAAACTGCTGTTTTTACCTGCTGCTTTTTCTCTTCAATAGAGCAAGTGTTCACCACAAAACTGTTGTTTTCCCTTCTCGCGGATCCACAACTCTCCCCCATCCCTTCCACCAAAATTCCTCTAAAGTACAACAGCCATCTTCCAAAGCCAAGCGCAACAGCTTTTCAGTCCACCATGGCTTCCACAGTGCCCCCCAACAAACCCATCTCTTTGTACATTCTACCTCCACTGATGTCACATTCTGACATCAATCCTGAATTTCGGTCCACAGCAGTCAGCAGTAAAACATGACCTTCCTTATGCTGTCGCTTAATTCTGGCAAGGGGGTAATCACGCGCTGTCTGCCAACAGCCCCCTCTCCCACTTCCGAGGCGGAACTCTCATCTGAGACGTCGCCCAAATAAAACCTTGCTCTGAATGCTGCCAAATGCGCATAATAGGCCGGCGGAACTGCAAACAAACAAAACACAAATGCCAACCAGAAGGCCGCAATCAATCAAATGAAACTACCAACAACTATGTCTGTTTTTTCTACCACACAGCATGTTCCCCCTCAACAAGAGAACCAGTTCTGAAATACAATAGAGCGAATGTTCACAAGACGACCATTCAAAAAGCAGCTCGAGCCAGACGACTCGGCAGATATCAGCTTTTATTTTGATTCATTTTTTCACTTTTTTCATTTTTTTTTTCCGGGGCAGGGGGGGTGAGGGTGAATTGCAGTGAGGGGTACCACAGTGAAGACAGCCTTGAAAGTGAAAAAAAAAAAAAAAAAAAAAAAAAAAAAAGAACACAACACAGAACACCGCATCAGATGTCACACGGAAGGTGTTTCAGTTCTCTTTAAGCACATTTGAAGTTTGCACTACAAAATGAGCAGTGCAAAGCGAAGTTCCAAAAGAACACAGAGCAAACATAAAACACAGACACACAGCAGCAGATGTCACACCGAATACCATAGTTGCGTATCCACATCTTCTTTAAACACCTCCAGCATTTTCACGATATTTTTATGATCAATTAAAAAGTTTCATCACAACATGGTACAGTGCAAAGTGCAGTTCCAAAGTGCAAAGATCAGTCAGAGCTTATGTGTGTCCGGGCAAGTGGCTAATTTCAAAGGCCGAACTCCAAGACCATAGTGAACTACCATGATGAAAATTAATGTATACAGCCATATGTTTCCAGCCCTACACAGTCAAATGTAGTGTGCATTGTGTTCGGGGGAACCCAAACGGTGGCAGAGGCATCAGGTTCATACAAACTACACAATTCTTCTTATGCACTCACCTGGTTCAAGCGATGGCTGATCCAATAGACTCAATAGTCAATCCTACAGAGGGACAGGAGGAATGTGTGGCAGTAGGAAGGCAAGCCCGGTAATCAGAGGACTCCAAGGCTTCCTTTGGCCAGGACAGAAGGAAACCTAAACTGTTTTTATCTCTGCATCTCTACTGACTCGCCAGTAGAACTGGCCTTATGCTCCGGCCAGAGGATGGAAAGGTGGAAAGGTCCATAGGCCGACTTTGCTACTACAAATACGGAAGCAGAAAAACTAGACCAATCAACAGTATGTGTTCTTCAGGTCGAAAACAATAGACAATTATGGAAGGACCTAACTCTTCATTCAACATCTTCCACAACTCGAATCATCAGCCTCACTCAAAAAATTCCACACAACTCGACCGTACAGGACCACAACGGCTGCTGGCACCAGCCAACATCTCTATACATGCTAAAGCAAGCGAAGGGTCTGACGACATGGTCGGTCGCGGGCCCAACAGAAACCGCTTGGGACACCGCGGTCGGGAGGTGTCGACCTGCGCGGGGGGCAGGGAAAAGCGAAGCGACCAAGGGGCGGAGGGCCGAGCCGATGCGGGGGAACCGGCAGGTAGGGACACAAAACCGGGGCGGGGGCCGTCCGGGGTAGGCTGGCGGGACGGAATTGGCCGTCGCTGGCGTGAAGGGGGACGCAAGGAATGGCTGGGCGGCACGGGCGCAGAAACGGAAGCGGGCAGAAGGCATGAGGCCGGCGCGCCCCCGCGTCGGCAGGAGGTCGGGGGAGGCAGGAGGTAGCACGGAGGGGAGGGTGGGAGTACAACGACCGAATCGTAGCACGGAGGGGAGGGTGGGAGTACGACGACCGAATCGTAGCACGGAGGGGAGGGTGGGAGTACGACGACCGAATCATGCACAGTGGGAACGACGGGAGAGAGAGAGAGAGAGAGAGAGAGATAGAGAGAGAGAGAGAGAGAGAGAGAGAGAGAGAGAGAGTACTTAAAAATCCGTTGGCCATATTCAAACAGGTACTGTATATTCCCATGTTCTAGCCGAAGATTCAACCAGGTAGTATCTGTTTCCATGTTCTAACCGAAGATTCATTGGATGTTGCTCATCCTATCGATGGAAGTAGCATGGCGAGAGCCGCGAGGTCGAAGAGTTATCATCTCTCTCTCTCTCTCTCTCTCACACACACACACACACACACACAAACACACAATTCATTCCGATTTTGCAAAAAAACGTGGCAGTGTATATTTCCACGTTTCAGCGGAAGATTCATTCCGTTTTCGCTCGTCCTATTGATGGAACGTGTGTGTGTGTGTGTGTGTGTGAGAGAGAGAGAGAGAGAGAGAGAGAGAGAGAGCCGATAAGTCTCCAACCTCAGTCAGCTAAGTCTCCAACCCCACCCCGCGTTCCAGCGGAGGATTCATTTCGTTTTTGCTCATCCTACAGATGGAATGTGTGTGTGTGTGAGAGAGAGAGAGAGACAGAGAGAGAGAGACGATAAGTCTCCAACCTTGGCCAACAGCTAAGTCTCCAACCCGCGCCTCGCCGCGCGCTACTTGGATCCATAGAATGAGCAAATCAAAAAGTGGCAGTGTATATTTCCACGTTTCAGCGGAAGATTCATTCCGATTTTGCTCATCCTATCGATGGAATGTGT